AATACGTACTCTCTCCAGAATGTATTTCTATCTCAAAGCCATGACAAGGGCTCCTAGTACTATGGTAATACAAATAATAATGAAAGGTGAGGGTGACAGCAGGATGTGTTGTAGAACCAGGGCCTGGTCTCCAAGGTGCTCATTGAACTCAATGAATAAAGGGCACCCAACATTTTGCAGGGTCACATCTTACTATTATTCTGTTCTATCTGGGTTTTTATACCAAAACTATCTCCATGGTAGCTGAGCACCATGAGACACACTTTAATTGCCCCTGTATAACTAACTGCTTCACTCTGAAAACCATTTTGAAACCTCTGAAAACAGAAGAAACTTCTTAATACTGCTTTTAAATGGACAGGGTAAAGATCTTCTCAGCAGCAGTTGTAACGGACGTCAATATTCTGAAACACCTTGAAAGTAGTGTCCCTTTAACAAAAACTCTACCAGCAAAGTTAACAAGGATTGTAGCTCTGTTCTTGCCAGAATAAGAAAAATGGGATCATGGTTTTGCACTTCAAATATTATCTAATTGGTAGGAGAAAAGTAAGTCTTTAGCACTGCACAGAGGCCTTGACACTTTCATGTCATGTAGGTTTTACATTAGCACCACTGGGTTGTGCAATACTGTAAATGAAATGAGATCCCACTCTGACGATCTGTGTGCAATTTCACTTAACTTTATTGGCAGACTAGAGCCTGGGTTTATCACCTGTACATTTCACGTAATTTGGGGTTGTTATAAAGAGCCAAGGTTATCATCTTGTTTAGTGCTGCAAACCATGAAACCTATTAAAACATGACAGATTCGATTCCCCACGCCTGGCACAAACACACACTCCAAATCATTAGCACGAAGCACAGTAAACTAAAAACAGCTTTTTAAATTTATTTTGTAAAGGCTGATGTGAAATTCTGATTAGCAGAACTTTATGGCTTATTAACCCCTCAGGAGAAGACCAGATAATATGAGAATCTCATAGAAAATGTGCCATTTTTTGACCAAAAGCCAGAAAAGCAATGTAGATTTTTTTTTTTAAGTTATAATACCCATTGCATCAAACAAGGAAAAATGCAGAATTTTAAAACAAATGCTGTCTCTTTGATGGTGTTTAATTAACACAGTCTGACGTCCAGGACATCATAGTCCGGGATCAGTGGTTTTGTGGTACTCTGCCTCTTGAATTGATAACTTGGTTACTGTTTCACTTGCATTGGTCACACCAGTCAGGGTCTGAAAGTTTCTAGGCACATACAACTGCTATCCTGTTTGAAACATGCTGAAGTTTCTCTCTCCAAGTTCTTATATAGTACCCATCATCACAGTATCAGAATGCCTCACAAGAGAATAATCTCTGTAAAAAGACAAAGGTCTGACTTCATCCTTAACAAGTCTAAAACTAAGTAAACAGGTCTGTAAGTCAGGATGATGGGATGCAGCCTTCCATTGGAAGTCTATGACAGCAGAGAGACCTCCCTTGTTTGTGGGCATGTCTTCAATGTAGTGTTAGCTCAAGTTACTGACACTCAAGTTAACTTCCTTCGAGTTAGCCTAGCTGGAGTGAGAGCTGTAGATGCAGACAGTAAGTGAACGTGATCATGACCAATCTTTAAATATATATGCGCAGATACATACATACATATACATACACATAAATACATCCATGCACATATTACTTATTTTGGCATCCCTTACTAATTTGCTCTCTTTAAAGAGAAATGTGCCAGCCCACACTCCCTCATCCAGACAGTTTCCTATGCAGTTGGCAAAAGTGGCCCCAAGAGCACCAGAGGGCAGCAGCGACTGCCTGAATGCAACAGGTTGGAGGAAATGGGAGAGGAATGGAAACAATATTGTGACTCTCCACCCAAGCCTCTCTCTCAGCAGGGGATGCAAACTCTCCAACTCTCACTTCTTCGGAAGAGGTAGAGAGAGACAGCAGATTCCCCTCCTAGAAGCACTAACAAAGGCCCATAGGGCTATGACAGGAATTTGGGCTGGGGTCAGAGGCTCAGCTTCACTGCTTGGCACTGAATGCTCCAGCTGTGTGCTACTCTCCTGCACCACCTTTTCATCAGGTTGGCACAGCAGAGGTGCTTCTCCCCATGTCCCTGAATAGGAGGCTGGGATGAGAACAGTAGCAGCATAGGTCACAATGCTTTAGCTCCCTTCACGTTGCTTGTTCTGCTACTAGCACAAGAAGATGGGACTTGGGCTATAAAAGGGAAGAAAGATTCTGGGGGGAGGAAATTTGGGTGCGAATGCAGAAACTAGCTATCAGTTTCAAAAACAAACCAGCCACAGGGTAATATTTTTAAAACGTGAAGTTTAGGGGGAAAATTCAGCCAAGTCTCAACCTGTAGAAAGTGACTCTGTAAAAGAATACCAAGGGGTTCCATGTTTTGCTGGTGATTTTCAGATCCCAGCTGTCCAATTTAAAGGTTTTAGCTAGCCCTGCAAACACAACCTGTGATCTGAAAATCAACCTGAGTTCTCTCTGGGACTACTCATAACGATTCTATAACTGACGTTCAGCTTATGATTCTGTTGATTCATGAAACTGTAGGCTCCAGCTCCCTCTCCCATAGCTGCAATGGCTGATTAGGGCTAACAAGAATAAACGCGAATAAATGTAGTTTTGTCAGGGAAGTAAGCAGCTAGAACTCTGAATACATGCTAGGGGCAGATCTGTTAAGAAAGGCTCTATTCTCACCAGTACTTTTCAGACTATAATGACATTTCAATTACAATGGAGAGTTACTGAGCCTGATAAATACTAGTGCGTAAGAACTAACAGAAGCTACTTGTAGTTTTATTCTGGGTGCCTGAATGCCCAGTATGTGTCTTGTCAGCTAGGAGTTCAGGGGAGAAGAGCAGTAACCAACCTTTCCTCCCAGCCTTGGCTGCTTTGGACCAAATTCTTATTTATCGTGTGACACAGGAACAGGTTTAAGTTTACTGCATAGATTTGTACAGCTTTAATTATCTTTAATTGCTTATTTTACTAACCGGTTTACTGCACATTTAATGGACCCCAACGCCTAACTCTTAACGGAGGTAAAAAAGAGCAACAGCTAAGCAGTGTGTCAGCCTGCCATAACAAACAAAGGAGGGAGGACAGAGTGTGACACACTTTCCCCCACTTCCTTGATAAGACTAGTAGAGAAATTGAAGACCATTTGAGACACATTTCCTTTAGTCTTTTACTTCCCTTTATACTCTATAGCTTGACTTTCTTCTCTATCACTGTTCAGCTTCACCATTTATGCTAGTCTACTGACCACTTTGTGCAGCCTGGGATGGCAGAGAGGTGTGCAGCCTACCACTCTCCTTCCATGCCTTACAGATGATATTGGGGCCCAGTTGACTTTAGTCCCCTGCACAACCCTTCCCAGTTGAACTACTGCTCTGAAAAGGAATGGAGTCTAGGAAAATACAAAGCTTGGTTGTATGCTCCAGGATCAGGTTTGTCCCAGATCACAAATGTTTAACTGGGAGGTGTTATACTTGTGTCCAGCTAAGGTATAGCTGGGGTCAAAGTCCAACTCTAAGATCAAGAAGGTATGAGGGATGGTAACATGCGAGGAGAGGGAGAAGACATGGCCTTCTGGAAACCTAGCAAGTGGTCAGAGGTTGGGGGAGATCAACCCAGTAACCAGCATCAAGACTCCACTGCAGGCAAAAGCAAAACAGCTCAAACATAAGCCCTTTTACTGGTCAATGCCGTTTCACCCCTACCCCAGGGCACACTTCTAAATTGTTCGTATGAAGAGGGACAGCCCTTATTTTTAGACTTACATTACGTCTAAATTAATGAATTATAAAGAAGTATTGGGCCACTTACTATAGCAGGCGTGGACAAACTTTTTCGCCCGAGGGCCACATCGGGGTTGTGAAACGGTATGGAGGGCCAGGTAGCAAAGGCTGTGCCTCCCCAAACAGCCTGTCCCCCGCCCCCATCCACCCCCTCCCACTCCCTGCCTCCTGACTGCACCCCTCAGAACCCCCGACCCATCCAACATCCCCTGCTCCTTGTCCCCTGACCGCCCCCTCCCCGAACCACTGACCCAACTGCCCACCCCCATCCAACCTCCCCTGTTCCCCATCCCCTGACCGCCCCTCCCCAAACCCCTGACCCATTCTACACCCCCTGTTCCTTGTCCCCTGACTGCCCCCTCCCGTGACCCCCCCGCCCCTGAACGTCCCCCGGGACCCCATCCCCTATCCAACCCCCGCCTGCTCCCTGTCCCCCGACTGTCCCGCCCCCTGTCCACACCCCCGCCCCCTGACAGGCCCCACGGGACTCCCATGCCTATCCAACTGCCCCCTGCTCCCTGTCCCCTGCTCCCCTACCATGCCGCTCAGAGCAGCAGGAGCGTGCCGCCTGGCAGGAGTGGCAGGCCAGCGTGCTGGGGTGCAGCGAGCTGAGGCTGCGGGGAAGTGGGGGGCAGCAGGGGAGGAGCTGGGGGCTAGCCTCCCCGGCCGGAAGCTCAAGGGCCAGGCAGGACGGTCCCGCAGGCCTGATGTGGTCCACAGGCTATAGTTTGCCCACCTGTGTACTACAGAGTTACATCACAAATTCTGGATTATGAAACTGAGGCTAGAGAAATTTATCCCATGTCATCTGGAACTCTTTCTCTCAAATCCTATATATTGCACAGACACAGGCATTGGCCAATGAAAAGTACATTCTAGAGAGAAAGCACAATGCCACACAGCAGGAGGCTCAAGGAAAGCAAGCAGAAGACCTATAAATGTCCTTTATACAGTTTTATAAATGCCAATGGTGAAGTGTTCCCTGAGGAATAACCCTGTTCATTAGCTTATTGTTGCCCCATGCGCCCACTCTCGGCAGACAGAAGGCACCACTTTTCTGCAGCGAGCTGTGAGAGGGCTTTTTCCTTGCTGCTTGTCCTGGTAGAAACAGCTACTAAAATCAAAATTTTAAAAAAGGCAATGAAGTGGGGGTTGGGGGCTTCACATAAGGTAAGTATCTTACTTATTGAAGACTTTCTTCTCCAGCCGTGAACGAGAAGTATTAGCCTCCTGTTTCAAGTCTGTCAGATTTGGGTATTTCCGCTTCTTCCCTTTGTTCTTCCCTCCTTTTCCTTTCCCATTGTATCTAGAGGATCCAAGATCTACTCCAGTAGCTGCTTCAACCTCTCTCATGAATTCTGGGTCTTGCCACTCTGTTTAAAGAGGGAAAAAACACATTTTAAAGAGCAGACAATCCCATCTAAAGCTTGCAAGTTTCCAGTGGTATTAGGGCCTGTTCACAAGGAGGGCAGAACCATGTTGCTGGAAGGATTTTAGTTTGAAAACTAGGTTATATAGACTAACGGGCACAAGAGGACTAATCTACAGCACAGATCTCTGGGAAGAAATCCTGGCCAAGATGATTGGGCATACCTCCTAATATCAACTGTGGTAGCTAGTACAATTCTGGATGCAAGGCCTAAGTCAACTTCTTGTAAAAGACTGAGATTATTATTATTTAATCTAACAAGAAGCTGCCAGTCTGAGCACAGGAGTTTATCATGTAAAGCAGGGGTCTCAAACTCAAATGACCAAGAGGGCCACATGAGGACTAGTACATTGGCCTGAGGGCCGCATCACTGACACTCCCCCGGCCCGGCTGCCCCCGCCCCCACTCCACCCCTTCCATGAGACCCCGCCCCTGCCTCGCCTCTTCCCGGCCCCTATTCCAATCCCTTCCCTGAAATCCCCACCCCAACTCCGCCCCCTCCCTGTAAAGTAAATTTTGGAAAAATGAATTTTAAAAAAATTGTGCCCAGGATATTTCATGTTTGGAGAAGAGTGGTTGCTTAGATATGCAATAGCATTTCCGTAGTCAGGAATTAAGATTGCTTCAAAATGCATAGCTAATTTCGGACAGACTAGATAGCACACACTAAGGAAAAGGAATTTGATCTTGTTCTTATCCTCACAATATTGAATCTGGAAAAGCCTCACTTCTGAAATATCCCACCATTCCAAATTTAAATTGTCTAAATCCAACTTTCTTCTTCCTACAACAGCACTAGAGTCAATTTAGCACTGTCAAAAACGTCTGTTGATAATTTTACTAAAGCCTTAAAAGTTTCAGAACTAGAATAACCATTAACACTACTAATATTGAGTGCCACAATAGGGAAAAGGCCTAAGTAACCTAAATAGTAAATAAACTCTTAGGGACTGTCATTACTTTTTGGTACAGAGCCTAGCATAACGGGGCCCTCATCCTTGACTGGGGCAATAGGTGTCATTGTAATATAAACAGGTAGGATTATAGTGTTGGTCAGGGCAAAATGGACAGTCTGTGTTTGAAGACAATTCAAATTCATGGGAAAATTAATCTTAAAATAGAAAAATCAAGTTATGGATTGGAAAAACAAGTGCAAGCATAATTTTGAAAAGCAACACACTGACTAACATGCTAGAATCCCAGAACTCCAGCGTTCTAGTTCTCACTCTGCCAATAACTTGTCAAGTAGTCTTGGGCTTGTCACCTAACCTTTCTTGATCTATATCTCCATCTGTGAATAGCAATAGCACAAGAGTGACATTAGGTTTACTTAACATTTGTACAGAGCTTTGAAACAAATCAAAGGCGCTAAATATTATTAATAAAGAAGCCTATAATTTCATTTGTATACCTAAAGTGGTCATGGACGATGACAAAAATATAGGTTATGCTGTTTCAGGTAGGTCAGAGGCAACATATTCTCCTTAGCAGCATTAAAACGATACGGCTCAGGAGTATTAACACATCTATGCAGGGAAAGGATAGATCTAACCTATCAATTTTATGCACACAAAAAAAGAGCGAGATTAAAATTATGCACAAACAAAAGGATGAAGAAAGCAGAGCTGGGTACGAACTGAGAAAGGGAAGTATAGAGGGAGAAAATAGAATCCACACAGTTGATAGATCAGAAGACTTCACAGAGTTTATTTTTTGAAGTGAAGGAATACAGAGCAGCACAATTCAGATACAGGAACGATTAATCCAAGATTAAGGAAAACTGTCTAAACAGTTTATCTCCCAGTAATAAGAAGGCGTCACAGTTTAGGAACCCAGTGAATGGAGCAATTGTTTAAACACAACGAAAAAATGCCGGCATCCAGTAGAGATGAAATGAGCATTTGAGTAAAATGAAGGAGCAATTTAAAAGCCTTTGAGAAAAATCAATAGAATGCCAGGGAAGAGCAGCCTTTTTGAGCATTGATGGGCCCCTAAAGCTCTTCATACATTGTTACTGAGTTTAGCAGCAGGGAAAAGAAAATTACACAGTTTGCAAGGGTAGGCGGGAATCAATACTGTAGTTAGTAAAGAGATGCTATTTCACATCTGACTGGCCAGCGGCTTGCCTTCACCAGCTTGTCCTGATACCTGTTTGTTAACAAGTCACTAAGGGCTGAAAAACCAGATACTCTTCAGGGTTGACACAAAAAATAGGCACTTAATTTGCTCCTGTGTGCGAACTATTGGAAAAGGATGAACACTGCAGATTAGGGGGTCAGTGTAATCCCACATGATTCATTGTTTCAAGGCCAAAGAGCTTAAAGCACCGTTTTGCTAACATAAGGCTAGAACGTAATATTTTAATCGAAGTATTAATTTAAAAAAGTGAGGCTTGAACTTTATTAAAGATCTCAGTAGTGACCGTACTGCCAAGACACACACTGGTCATTATCATATGAACTATATTACTTTTTCATAATTGTTTTTCCATTCAGTCACATGGGGATAAAAATTAATCTACCTTCCAGTAGAGTGAAGCACACAGAAAACCAGTGATCAGGGCTAGCCTAAAAGTTGTGATAAGTAGAGACTTCTTGGAAGTACCCATTACAAATTCACGCTTGAAATCAGAAGCAGCAAACATTAATTAGATCTATATACATTTAAATAAAAGGAACCAGATTAGCTCCCTCAGCAAGTCTTTACAATCTGGCATCTATTAGAAATTACTAGAAAAAGGACCAATTTTATACTTACGAGTAAAATAAAAACAGTTTAATTTGGCAATGGAATGGAAGTGTTTATTACTGTAGAACAGTAAAGGCACCTTTCCTTGGCCCCCCAAAAGTAACATCTTATTTACTGTCATCCTTACAAACCTGCCACTCATTGTTTAAATACTCTGTTCTTTCAGCATTACAAGTCTAGTTAGGAAATGGACAGGGTTACTGGAGAAGATGGAATTGGCGCAAACTATTCCTCTCTCCCCCACAAAGTGTTGTTGTACGTAACCAAAACACCCAACGCTCTCAGCGTCTTTGCACAGTGAATGAACTATACTCTTTACCATGATTGATCCTCATTTTCCAGTGTGTGGTCACTAATGTGTGGAATCACAGTGCCAACTGTAAGAACAAAGTATGTGTAGTATCAGGTGGGTTATTCTAGTCTCTACACTATCTTGTGTTGTGAACATATGCACAAGCCTCACAACTTCACTGACCTGCTTGGTAATGCTGTTACAAGTCACTTACAGGAAAGACATGACTTTTTAAAAACACCGGTTAAAACAATACATCATATCTTAATTTTAAAGTCCTTAGCTATGGAAAAAAATTAATGAACCAAATACTAAGACCAATGAGCAAATATGCTCAATAATAGTTAATACACAGACATTAGAAACTTTCTTTAAATTAAATGAATGGAAGTTTTGGCCAGGAAACCAAATGTCATCGTTGCTTTAGCTTCCCACTAGACAGGCAGAGAATAGTGCGCAGAAGGGAGCTCAGTTTGACATTTCAGCTTAAAAATGGCATTCAGTAGGGCAGCAAAGTAATGTCAAAACTGGTGTGGGACTAAAACACACATCTTTGTGGGCCAGAGGTGAGCGTGTTACCAACAGCACCACATTGACACAGTAATAAAAATAAGTATTATGTCTAGCCTAGAGGAATGTCAATTTCACAGAGAAAAAAAATCAATAGTTTTCAGTTTGAGTGATTTTTTTACACCAGAGCATTAGGGCTTGTCTACACTTGAAAAGCTACAGCTGTGCCACTGTAGCATTCTGGCATAGACACTACCTGGGCCAATAAGAGGGGTTCTCCCACTGGCATAGTTAATCCACCTCCCCAAGAGGCAGTAGCTAGGTTGACAGAACAATTCTTCTCTTGATCTACCACCGTCTACATCAAGGTTAGGTTGGCTTAATTATGTCACTCAGGAGTGTGAATTTTTCAACACTCCTGAGCAATGTAGCTGGGTTGATTTAACTTTTGAGTGTAGGCCTGGCGTTAGGTTCTGTTTCTAGTTTGAAACTAGCCTCTCGAGAGTAGCTAATGACATAACTCCCTTTCTCTGTCTGTAGATTTTGCCAGAATTAAAATAAGAAAAAAGTCACAACTTTAAAAAAACAAAACAAAAAACCCACACTCTTGCTATACACAAATCTGGGCTATTGGTTTATACTTAAATGCACCTTTATGCTAGTTAGCAATTTTTGGATAATAGGTCATGATGGCCAACTACTGTGCTTTGAAAAGAGATTTCCAGGAGAGGCTAGTGGCTGAACTAATAATATCGAACAATCAAGGAATCACTGGATTCCAGACTAGCTTCAAATAAGATGCCAACATATCAGGAATACACATGGACAAGGCACACAATCTTTTCCAGTTTCAGAAGTGCTATTTCTGGTAATACTAAGCGGAAACAGAAGCATAACTATACTAGAGGTTAATTCCTTGCAAACTCTCCTCCTGGGGAGGGTAAATAAAAATGTGAAGTCAGGAGGAAAATACCAAATTCCTGCACTAAAGCAATGGAAACACAGAACCAGTATTCATGATACCACGGTGGCATAGATGCTATAGTGATATCATTGCCTCACCACCACAGTATATACATGCATGTAGCACCTGCTACAGATCAGTATTGCTTCCAGTTGAAACATCAGCTGGCTTTAGTCAGAAATATTGGAACAGCTGCCATCAAACATTTTCCAGGAAAATGGTGTAACTGTATTTAAGATGTGAGCTCCTCAAGAGGGTTGCACCGTATCTGTACAGAAAGTGTCTAGTCCATCATGAGTGCTACTAGCTATAAGAAATGAACAAATATCACATACAGAGTAAGAAGAGGAACAAATATTTTTTTAGAGTAGGCACCATACAATAATAAAATAAAATGAATTTATTTAGTTATGTATTTCATACAAAAAACTACATTAAAAGAATATTGTGGTTGTAAAGTCAAGCACTCAATGAAATACCAGAACTAAAGTTGCCCTTGCAACAATATTTCAGCCCCATTGCATGTGTAGCTTTCATATACACCACATAGGACTTCAGTGAAGGAGACAGAAATAGGATCCTTCTCTCTTAGGTAACAGCCCAGTGCCTTAAACACAAGAGAACAGCCTCAGCCCTCTTACAACTTTCTGCCTCATTCACTGTCCATTGTGTGCACTAAATGATGCAGGGATCCTGGAGGAAAAAAGTATGTAATCATGTAATAAAAGACTCATGATTCATATGCGTACGAGGGCTGAGTTAGGGTTCTATGGATAACTTTAATTCTGGCATTTCTTAACTTCTGAGGGCAAGTCTACATGACAGCACTATATCGTGTGTGTGTGTGTGTGTGTGTGTATATATATATATATACACACACACATACACACACACACACACATATGTGCAGCTGCACCGCTACTGTGTGTCTGGTGAAGATGTGCTATGCTGATGGGAGTGCGCTCTCCCGTCGGCATAATTACTCCACCTCCATGAGAGGCAGAAGCTATGTTGGCAGGAGAGTGTCTCCCGCCAACAGCGCCGGTGCGGACAGCCCTTAAGTAGATGTAACTTGTGCTGCTCGCAGGGGCGTCTTTTTCCACATATGTTGCATCAATTTAAGCAGTAAGGGAAAGTCCTTCAGGGTTGTCTGCACTTCCGTGGGGAAGCCCAATAAGTTTTAACAATGGCAGTGGAGATGGAACATACCGCCGTATCAGCTGTGTCGAGCACTGATTAAAGTGTTGTCTTGGCTACCAGTTCTCCTTTGTTGAAGATGGCTCTAAATTGATCTCTGAGAGATTCTGGAAGCTGTTCAATAAAGGAATTGAGTTTTGAGTAGTTGACAGTCATATTTTGCTAGTAAGGCCTGGTAATTTGTGATGTGGAATTGAAGCATGGTGGAAAAACAAGCTTTTCTCCCAAATAGGTCAAGGTGTTTCCAAACCCTACTATAGGAGTGGATTTCTCATGTTGTCGACCTCTGGAGTTTACCACATCCTCAATGATCGAATTAGGGGGTAGACAGGAGAAAAGAAATTCTGTGACCTTCGCTGGTACATAATATTTCTTATCGGCCTGCTTACAGGTTGGCTGGGCCGATGCAGGTGTCTGCCATATAGTTTTGGCTGGGTCCAAAAGAGTCTTGTTGATGGGAAGAGCTACTCTTGATGAGGAAGAGGAGTGCAGAATGTCCAGCAATTTATGGTGTGATTTTGTAACCTCCTGTAGTGGTACCTGCAGTGTGTCTGCCACCCTCTGAGCTAGATCTTGAAAAAGTTTAAAGTCATCCGCTAATGATGGTGGAGGGGACAACACTGCCTCATCTGGTGTGGAAGATGAGATGTTAGTCTGAGGCGTAACCTCTTCCTCAGTGTTGACCTCCTGTTCCTCCGTCATCTGTTCAGGAGGTTCTGGATACAGAGGCAGAGAGAGGGTGCCTCATAGGTTCTTGGTGGGCCATACTAGAATTTCGGGAGGCATGATGTCTATATGCCTTCCACAGATCCCAGTAAGGCCATTGATATGGTGGGAAGGGTCCCAGTGGTTGGTAACATGCTTGACTATACCAAAGAGGCTGAGGGTCAGATGGACAGTATAGCGAAGGAGGTCCAGATTGGAAATGGGCACAATAAGGTACTGAAAGGAGCGATGGAAGACTACCTCCTGCTCATTATCTGACTCCACACTGGAGACTGGGGCTGCACAGCCTGATGCCAAAGGGGAATCTGGAGCTCAAGCCAAACTTGGTACCGAGGCCCCGGTACTGAGTAGAGGAGACTTAGGTACGTAAGACACTGTGGTCTCTCGAGTATCTGAAGTCTTGTGGTGCCATAGGTACTGGTGGTGGTTGTTAGTGCCAGGACAACTGTACTGATGGAGTTGGTGATGTGGTTTGGTTAAACGACCCAACGGTGTTTGGCGTATGTTGACAGTACCAACGTCATGGTTTGCACTGATGGAGTCTTCCCCAAGGCATGCTCTTTGTCTAGCCCATGTTGCATTGCCTGTGGCCATCAGGTCCTTAGGCAGTCCAACGTGCTCATTGGGACAGCTTCAGTGCCACCAGTACCAATGATACTGAACAAGTTGGTGATCTTTTTGGCTGGTTTGGGGTTGGCTCTGAGGACTCTCTTTTTAGAAGCCTTGTGTGAATAGCTGATTGTTGCCTTCTTAGGCTTACTTCACTTGGATATAGAGGGCTGTGGTGAATCTTGATGCGGGTCTGAAGGTGGTTGGAGAGCTGCTTCCATTAGAAGGTGTTTAAGCCTCAGCTCTCTGTCCTTTTGGGACCACGGTTTCAACTGTAGCATAAACCACACTTCTGGGGAACGTGGTTCTCCAGGAGGCAATGGACACAATGCAAATGTCCGTCCATCACCAGGATGGCCTCTTTGCAGTTGCGACACCTCTCAAAACTTGGTGAACCAGGCATACCCTCTCCTGTGATGGTCCACGGACAAGGGAAAGAGGAAGAGGTGAATAAAGATTGAAATTAAAATTAAAAACATTCTTTTAAAAAAAAATGTTAAAGGAACAAAAGGAAAGAAACTCAAAGCAAACTAAGTAATAGTCAGAAAAGAAACTAAAATGAATGATGAACAAGTATTTAGAGAATTAACAATCTGATAAACGGACAGCTAAAAGTTCTGTCTCTGGCCCTGGGTGGTTCAGAAGAAACTGAGGAAGGTTTGCCCACGCAAAGAGGGCTAGCCTTGTGGCAGAGCACAAGGAGGGGGACAGCTCATGCATGAGCCGAACTGGCACTCCTACCAAAGTTCTTTGATCAGCAGCACAGGGACGCAACAACACCTACTGTGGAGCACCCATACGGACACAACTTGAGGAAGCAGTAATTAGTTATTTTTGGGTGTCCAATTTGTGACGCCCTCCAGGGACCTGATTTTCAGGCGGCAGCTGTTCAGCACTTTCTGTTTCAAGTTGGGCAGCCAAAAATCGCAGTTGCTTTCGACAGTCTCGGGCCAATGTTTCTGTAACCCAAAGAACTGTGGCAGCCAAAACCTTACCTTTAACCTTGTTTTCTAGCACCAGCTCAGCAGTACTCAGCTAACATGATGGGCTGATAACAGTTTTGTTGTTCAGTGAATTATGGTCACACTGATCATATCACAGTAAAGTCTGTTGATCTATCTTAATATTGCATAGTTTTCTTCCAAATCCTTGTCTGTTACAGTATCAAGTTATGACTACAAAGCAAGATTACTTTAGTGAATGGATATAGTAAAAAAGCACCCTCAATATCTATGCTTATGTTCAGAGTGAACCTCTCAGCTCCTTCAAACACTTTATGACACCTTTCCAATTAATCTCCCACACAAACCTGGCTGTTCTGCCTGCTTCTCAAACTTCTTCTTTTCTTCTCTCATTTTGTCCTCTGGATTAACAGGATTCCCAGATTCATCCCGAGGGATTATCTTCCCATGGAAAGGGCACTGAGGGAAGAAAAAAATGACACTTGAGTTGGAGACTAAACATTTCCATGTAATCTCATGTTGCTAGTAGTCAATTCTTGGAATTAAATGATACACTTTGTACTGGCATATGGGACCAGATTATGAGCACCTCTTATGAGGTGCTGAGAGCCCTAAATTGTCACTGAAACCATAAACAGACTTCAATGGGAGTTAAAGGCACTCACAGCCTTACAGGATTGAGCCCTTAATGAAATGAACTGAGTATAACGGCAATAAACAACAGGCCATTTAACAGACAGAATGCTGCCCTGCCATCTCTGGAACCAGGGTTTTAATTCTACATTTGTATTTTTAAAGCTAAATCCCTTAACATGCAGGAATTCCATTTTAAGTATTTCAACCCATTCACACCCTTTAATAATGGCAAACTCAGTAAGAACTGTAATAGTCAAGCAAAATGTTTAATATTAAGGAAACATTGTTCAAATTTGTCCAGTAAATTAAGTTTTGTAAAATTATGCTTTTATAAAAAACCTAATCTCTCATAAAAGCCCATGTCTTTGCTATCCCTTCAACAATAAGGATTATAATGTTTTGAAAAAGTCATTAATGTCAAACACACTTCTGCACTGAATGAGGAGAAGGAAGAACCACACAGCAAACAACTACTGGGCTCTGTTTCCTTGTCAGATGCTCAGACACAACAGTAATGAGCATGATATAAATACCTAGTTAAGTGCAACAGAAATGGCTCTGTAATTCTTTTAAAATTCCAGTTGCTAAACTTTTCCATACCACAAACATTCATCATACATTCCTATTAAACAAATATTCCCTGCAATGTTTTGAAACTCAAATAAAACATTTTTAAATGAAACCCTGCAACTGTAACGGAGTAGAAATTACCACCAAAAAAGTGAAATCAGCCTATTTTCATTATCCAAATGGACAGAAATGTAAAACAGCAAGCAAACAGCAGAAAGTGTGAAAAATAAGAGTTTTAAAACCCATTTTCCATTTTTTAATATAATGTAAGGTGTTTATTTGTAACAAAGATAAGGAAATCTTGTATTAAATATTTGATTTTTAAACTAGGTGCCCCGTAAATAAAAATACTTCCTCAATTGCTAAAGTAAACACTTGTCTGTGATTTATGACATTGGACCCAGAGATATTCATCATAAATGAAGTCATATTGTAGCAACATTGTAGACACAAGCAGATGCAGCAATGCCAAATATACTTAAAAGCTCATTTCAAAACATCATTTACCATTTTCTCTTAAAAAGACGTGCTTCCCACATGCAAGACCAAGATGCCTGGCTGAGCTAACCAAGTGAAGATTTCTTTGAACATAAATTTTCACTCACTTTAGCCTTGTTTGCAATGAGATGTAAGCTCTGAACAAGTATTTTGATGAGACCTTTCTATGTATGGCATATTCTGGAAATTATGGTATTAAGTGCGCACCTTAATCCTATCCTGTCTTTCACATAGTCTCCCGTCAGGCATTGGTGCTCGACATTTATGTTTCACCGGTTCAAATTTGCCACAAAAAGTTATAAATCTACTTTTCAACATTTCGGCTATTTCTTTGTTTTCCACCTCTTCCTCCATTTCATTAGGTGCCCAAAATCGATGTTGAGAAGAAAATCTGGAAAAACAAAGAATACAGATATACCTTTTCGCCCATAAATGAAATTCTGTACTTACTGTGAACCTATACAACCCCAGGGGAATCAGCTGGGTAAGAATTGGGCTCAGTAGGCAGAAGAGCACTTAAAAAACACATGCATATTAGTCTTTACCAACAATTTCTCTCAGAAAAAATTAAGCTTCTTACAAGCTGGTAGGCTGTTAAAATTTTCCCTCCTTGAACACAGAGATATATTAATGAATTGTAATAATCTAGGGCTCTACAACTGGTGATAACTGCTATATTGTGTAGACATTCTTAAAATGTTGTGGAAGCTTGACTGATTGGTGTCCTTCATTTCCAAACAACTTGTCTTCCCCAATTTCCCATTTAATATTATCACCTAACAGCCAGTGGATTAGCCACTAGGCCAACGGGGCCCATGCCCAGGGGCCCCAGCCAATTGGGGTGCCCCCGCACCCTGACCCCACTCCCCATCAGGAGCACGGGGGAGGGGGGGTAGGGGGACTGCAGGCAGAAGGGGCAGGGAGGGGCCCCCCACTTGCTCTGGCCCAGGGCCCCACAAACCCCTAATCCGCCTCTGCCTGCCGTTGTAATTTCAGTTGTGACTTGGCTTTAGAAGTCAAAGTGGGCCAAAAACTGCTTAAAATAAATAATTCCATAGTCAACACTATCCTCATCTTGATAACCTTACTGTGTAGCAGATGAGGTAAAATAAAGTAAGACGAACAGTTAAGCTACTGTTCAGTGTATGCTCTTATGCCTGTCTGTTTTGCTCTTTAACAGCAGCAAAGGAGCAGGGGCTGGAGTGACGATAGACTGCAGTATACTGTAGACTAGGGAACGGAGCCAACAATCAACTGAACCTTGTAGCAATTTTTCTTCTAGGTTCAATAGTTAACTCTTCTTTTTGACACTGCTATCAGCTCACAAGTATTTACAGGAAGTTTCTTCAGGAAATTAAAAGCAATATACTGAAAACTTATTTTAAAACTGGAGAGATCTCATGAAAAATAGTCATTTTATGAAAAGCAGAACCATTTCCTGGTCCAAAAAAAACCCAACAACCTGCCTCCCCCACAAAAAAAACACAACCCTTTATTACCCTGGTGCAAAGGCAGTAAACATCTATTGCTTAAGAAGAGGGAAGGACCTACCCACTGAATGATGTAGTATTCTCAGAAAAACAAAAAATATTAGAAAGTCTGGAAAAAGAGTGTTAAGGAAATGTCTTAAAAAGACAAATATGCAATTCAGTGATCCCAAAGAACCTTCACTCTGCTCCCAACTCCCACATCCATCACATATTGCATACAAGATGGAAATATTTGAATGAAGGAGGTCTTGATAAGGACTTTATGTACACATTGGGCAGCCAAGGACATTTTACATCCACTATATTTGTGCACTTGTAGTCACCTCCACATGGTTCTTTCCTTCCCAAGCACTCCCATAACTGGCCTCTGGATGGATCGGTCTCCCTCCATCCTATGCCTCCCACTCATGTGGTTCCCTCTCTGTCACTCCCCAGCAATGAAGCTCTGCACTTTGTAGGCTCCATATAGCCTAATATATCAAGACAACACTTTTATTAACAACTAAGGTCTCAATTCAGAAAGACACTTATGCATGTCCTTAAGTCCCACTGAAGTCAATGTGCTTAAGTGTTTTTTGAATTGGGCCCCAAATGAGTCCCCCCTAACAAACTTTAGAACAAATCTGGAGGACTTGAAGTTGATCTCACACCCGCTTTCAACTTCACTGGTTAAAGTGGAGTTACTCCCTATTTACACTAGTGTAAGTGAGATTAGAATTAGGCTCAGTGTTTCTAGGCTAAAAACTATTTTAGAGTTGTAGTGAAATCTAATTTTTAAATCTTCCCATCTTACAAATTCCTCCTAAGAGTTGCCTCATATGTTTCAGAAACATTCTATCCTGGCATATAACAACTGGATTAATTTAATCGTGGCAATATTAGGGGGATGAATCCAAATCGGTTTTATAATACAAGACTAGCTTCAACATTCACTGTAGTAAGACTCGGAGGAGAGGAAGGTGATCAGGAACAGTCAACATGGATTCACCAAGGGCAAGTCACACCTGACCAACCTGATTGCCTTCTATGATGAGAAAACTGGCTCTGTGGATATGGGGAAAGCAGTGGATGTGATATATCTTGACTTTAGCAAAGCTTTTGATACGGTCTCCCACGGTATTCTTGCCAGCAAGTTAAAGAAGTATGGATTGAATAAATGGACTAAAAGGTGGATAAAAAGCTGGCTAGATCGTCTGGCTCAATGGGTAGTGATCAACGGCTAGATGTCTAGTTGGCAGCCGGTACCAAGCAGAGGGCCCCAGGGGTTGGTTTTCTTCAATATCTTCATTAATGATCTGGATGATGGGATGGATTGCACCCTCAGCAAGTTGTCGGACAACACTGAACTGGTTGGAAAGCTAGATACGCTGGAGGCTAGGGATAGGGTCCAGGGTCACCTAGACAAATTGGAGGATTGAGCCAAAAGAAATCTGATGAGGTTCAACAAGGACAAGTGCAGAGTCCTGCACTTAGGATGGAAGAATACCATGCACTGCTTACAGGTTGGGGACCGACAGGCTAAGCAGCAGATCTGCAGAAAAGGACCTGGGGATTACAGTGGACGAGAAGCTGAATACAAGTCAACAGTGTGCCCTTGTTGCCAAGAAGGCCAATGGCATACTGGACTGCATTAGTATGAGCACTGCCAGCAGATCGAGGGAACTGATTATTCCCTTCTATTCGGCACTGGTGAGGCCACATCTGGAGTACTGCATCCAGTTTTGGGCCCCTCACTACAGAAAGGATGTGGACAAATTAGAGAAAGTCCAGTGGAGGGAAATGGAAATGATTAGGGGGCTGGGGAACATGACTTACAAGGAGAGGCTGAGGGAACTGGGCTTATTTAGTCTGCAGAAGAGAAGAGTGAGTGGGGATTTGATAGCAGCCTTCAACTACCTGAAGTGGGGTTCCAAAGAGGATGGAGCTAGGCTGTTCTCAGTGATAGAAGATGACAGAACAAGGAGCAATGGTCTCAAGTTGCAGTGAGGGAGGTCTAGGTTGGATATTAGGAAAAACTGTTTCACTAGGAGGGTGGTGAAGCACTGGAACGGGTTACCTAGGGAAGTGGTGGAATCTCCATCCTTATAAGTTTTTAAGGCCCAGCTTGACAAAACCCTGGCTGGGATGATTTAGTTGGGGTTGTCTAGATGACCTTCTGCGGTCTCTTCCAACTCTAATCTTCTATGAGGCTATGCATCTCGTAATTTACGATGACAAAAATGTCTTTATACTCTCACTGTTAAAAAACATTCCAAGAAAAGACCCTTTACAATATATAAATATTTTAGTGAAACTCTTGAAAAATGAAGTATTTTTTAGCTTTACAAATGATGTGGTGGGATTGTAAAGTGATGGATAATAAAAGTAAGTTTGATTCATTCTGCTGTGCTTGATTTTTTTTCTTAATTCCCTAAAATAGGACTGACTTCAAGCTCTATATCAACAGTTTTATAAAGCCACAATGAAGTCATAGGATCCCTAAAAAAAGTATACTAATATTTTAGATTGCTATACACAAAGTAGCCTTACATAAACTTGCAGTAAAATTCTAATGCCCCCTGGTGGTCTGATTTTTTTTCTAAAATTATCAAATATTTATATTCATGCTAAAGTGAAGAGGTACTCATGATATGCATACAGGCTAACTTTCCCTGTGTGACACAGCCTCATTTGATATTTTAACATAATCCCTCCAAAAAAACATCTGTATCCAGTATTTTTCAATGTAATAAAAAACTGTTGTCTTCCTCTTTGTAGCTTTCCTTAAGATGCCTGGTATGTTTTAGGGAGTTGAGCTTAAATAATGGACTGATGTCTGCATAGCCATAAGCACTTCCATTGACTATGCCTTTATAAACCATTTCCCCCCACCCCCACAACTCTTTCACAACTATATTTGCAGGCAAATGAAAAAAGAACAAAGCACTGTTGAAAACTAGAGTTATTTTGTTTAGGTGCATGTTCCCTATGCAGTACACAAAGGTGGTGGATTTCCATTTTTTTGGGGGTGGGGGTGAGGGGTTGTGTATAACTTTGTAGGACAGAAGTCCTTTAATGGACCACCTGGTACACATCATCTCTGCAAATGCTTGGTTACATGAATAACTAATATTAGGAGAATGTTAAAGAGACAAGATGAAAATAAACTCACCTCAGTGCAAAGGGGGCAGCCACTTGGCTATGTCCACTCCCATCCTATTTTGTAGCTGTGCTCTTTACTTCCTCTTTTTTTTTTTTTTTAAAAAGAGATCTCAACTTTAAAATTATTAATAGCAAATCTCTCCTCACTGCCTGCAGCCCCTTCTGCCCCCACTTCTCAAGGTTACTTGGCAGTTTTGGTTCTGTCTGCCTGTGTTTTTGCTACCCTTCCAATTTTGATGTTGCCAGCAAGTTTGATCATAGTTAGATTTATATGACAAACAACTAAACTTATTATAAGAACTAAGGCTCAGTCTAACAAAGCATTTAAGCATGTGAATAGTCCCACTGACTTCACTGGGATTACTCATATGCATGAAATTTAGCACACATTTACTTAAGTGCTTTTGTTGGATTGCAGCCTTCATTTCCTGTGCAACAACCCAAGCAAGCAGAGGAATCTAAAGGAAACTCTGCTTGAAAATGCATGCATGTGACTAGTGAAATTTTCTAAGGCGGTGGGGATCACCACTGGAATGAAAGCAGCTGCATGGACCACCTGGAAGAAAAAATGGTTACTCACCTTCTCGTAACTGTTGTTCTTCGAGATGTGTTGTTCACGTCCATTCCAATGAGGTGTGCGCGTGCGCATGTGCACGGTGGCCAGAAGATTTTTCCCCAGATCAGCCTGGGTGCCCTCTGGAGCTGTGCCTTCATGGTGCTCAATATAGGGCCCTGCTGACCCAACCCCCACTCAGTTCCT